TGGCGTTCTGGTAATGAAATGATAGAAATCTATTTCTAGGGAACACTATACAGTGGTGCCTCGCAAGACGAACAACTCACAGGACGAAAAACCCGCAAGATGAATGGTTTTTGCGATCGCTATGGTGCCTCACAAGACGGCTTCTTCTATGGCCGTGCTTCGCAAGACGAATGTTTTTCGCAAGACCAATGTCTCGCAAGATGAATTATTTTCGTCTTGCAAGGTTCCCATAGGAATGCTCTAATTAAGGAGATGTATTTTGCCCTGCTTCAAGGAGAACCATACCAGATCATGGCTACTTTTCCATGGGTGGAGAGGCAATAAGAAGGAAGGAAGGAAGGAAGGAAGGAAGGAAGGAAGGAAGGAAGGATTACAGGGAGAAACAAGGAAGGAAGGAAGGAAGGAAGGAAGGAAGGAAGGATGGATTACAGGGAGAAACAAGGAAGGAAGATAGGAAGGATGGACGGACGGACGGACTGACAGAAGGAAAAGACTCAAATGGTTATCAGGTCATAACATTTTATTATAAAATATATTTCATATTGCTGCTGTAAAAATTACATTTCACATTTTTTGTTGCTGTTGTTGTTTACAATAAAAAATAATACTTGGAAGACAATCAAAAAGAAAAGCTCTGATCAGACAGTAATTCAACAGTATGATCTAGTATTCTCCCCCCCCAAAAAAATTAGGCTTGTAAGTGTATCACCACTGCAAGAGCAGCTTGTTATCACATAACACCCCTACCTAATCACATCCACCCACCCATTATTGTTTAAAATGCCGTGTAATTAACGAAGCTCATTAGGGCTCTCTGAATCTCACACCCCCGCACCCCAAGTAAGTTATGCTTGCATGGCTTCACTTCTAGGTTTTGACCCACAAGGGAAACCGTGTGGGTTTCCCTGATGCCATCGTTACAAAGTGGGGGGGGACGTGACGAGCAGGGGCCTCGTTCTCTTCCCAAGCTCCTCCCCCTTTGCCTTTTTTGCAGGAAGATGGTGCTGGTGACGGGGTAGCTTCACCCGCCCGGACCCTCCGAGCTGCAGCACTATCATTTCCAGGAGGGGCTGTATTTATGCAGCAAGATACATTATATGCTGATACCAGAAGCCGAGCTGGCAGTCAGTGCCTACACAAGGTGATACAAAACAGACGCATGCATGCACTCCGAGGTCTACACAAACC